TTGTATAGGATTTGAACCTCCATTAGGAGACTATAAAGTGCCATATTGAACATTTCTGGGGCATGGTCCGTTTCCAAAATAGGATGGTCGAGAATTATAAGAGTTAGTTCTTCTAGAACTTTTGAATCTAAGTACAGGCGAAGAAGTTGTAGTTGTTGTGGTGGTGGTTGTAGTAGATGTTGTATTAATTGCGTTTTCATCCGGTAGTGTTCCTTCCTCTGAATCTGGTACCCAACCATCATCTTCTTCTTCTTCTTCATATACAGGAGTATATGGTTGATAGTTAATAGAATTTTGAACATTACCACCTGAAGAATGTCTGGATCCAGTTGCTGGAGTAGTTGTTGTAGATGTTGCATTAATTGCGTTTTCATCTGGTAGTGTTCCTTCCTCAGAATCTGGCACCCAACCATCATCTTCTTCTACTTCTTCTTCATAATAACGGGGATATTGTTGATAGTTAGTAGGATTATAAGCTCTAGTTTCTTCCCCTTCCTCTTCATTTTCCTCCCCGTATTCTTCTAGCTCGTATTTCTTGGTTGTAGTAGTCACAGGGGCTGCAGTAGTACATCTATAAGGACATCCGCATCTGCCTCCGCCTCCACCTCCGCATCCGCACCCGCATCTGCCTCCGCCTCCACCTCCGCATCCGCATCCGCACCCGCATCTGCCTCCGTTTCTTCTATCTGATTTATATAAATAAAATTACAGATTTAATTCAATTTTTTTTCGGCAACATAAATAATTAATTAAAACTTACTAATGTAATTGACAAGCCATTCCCAAAAATTGCTCCCTGAACTATGTACATTATGCACATAACCATTACTGACATTCGCCAAAAAAAAAAAATGGGTAAAGAAAAATTCACATTTAAAAATCACGTAAGACGAATAATTCCACATTTTCCAAAAAAAAAAAAATTAATTTTTTACTTGTAAAACCACAGTTGATGCAATAAACAATAATTGTAAAAGTAACATTTTCTTTTTTTTTTACTTTTTTAAATAC